TTTGTCACTAATGTCAACGCTGTAGTAGTCTGTAATTTTTAACAGTTGCTCTTTTGTGCAGCCGTCCAAAAACTCCTCCGATGGAGTCTAAAAAAAAACTTCAACCTGAGCCATTTTACCAACCTAGCCCAAAGGAGAGCAATATCAACACACTGGCTGTAACAAAGGCAAACAGGAGCGTCCTCTCTATCTGCCTAACCAAAACTAAAGTAACTCACCCCTAGTCTTCATGTGGTTAGTTGCGGCGGGTATTTATACACTTATGACCACTGGTATGAAGAAGCGACCAGAATCTGGCAACCTCCCCACAGCCATGGACATGCTCCCGAGACAAAGTCTCAAACCGCGTTCACCCCAACACTACCAAAAAACAAAAAATCCAGCAAAGCTCAAAGGAGCAATGCTGCTATGCCTACCAAAACACAGCTTTAGCTCCAACACAATTACACACCAGCATGTCAACACTCACCTTCCTTTGGACAACCTGGGGCCTGTATCACGAAGCGAGATCAACCTTTCCTGGGTTACCCAGACCTATCCTGGGTTGACTAACCCTAACAATGGCAATCAGGATAATCTGTATCACGACGCTGGATATCAACTCGGAAACTCAACCCAGAGTTGCTTTATCAAGCGCCGTGAACGCGCACGCAGCAGACCAATCACAATCATGAGAGAAGTGCAGCGTCACTGAGCATCACTAAGCACCATATGTGAGGGGAAAAAATAGTATTTCTCGTGAGGATCAGAGATTAATTCTACTAAAATATGAGAAGGAGAAAAGCAACATTACAGAAAAGGCCAACACCGTTGCAGCTGCAGGAGGAGGAAACATGCGTGGCAACGCATAATGGGATGAATAATGTTTAGTTTTAGTTCAGATTAGTTTATTTGCACATAATGTTAAAACAGACAGTATAAAATTTACAAGATTAAAAAAAGAAAAGTTAGAAGAGGTTAAAAGCCACTAAAAGCTTATCAAAGAAATTCCCCTGTCAAAACATCAATGAAATCACATAAGAGAAGAAACAAAACGGGTAAGGAAAGAAGAACTAGATGAGGAGAGACAGAAAAACCAAAACAAGGTAGCAAATAAAATGATGTGTAGGTTAAATTACTCACTGGTTCAAGTAGCTATATTATCTGTACCTGTACATCTGACACTGATCACACCCTTGAATCCCATGAAATCAGTGCTGCGCAGATGAATTGCATGTATTACAATTATTGTCTAACATCATTGCGTCTGAAAAATTGGTCTTCTTTGTCATAACGTTATATATGCTACAATAAAGCTTAAAGCTGACGCCACAATTAAATCATATCAACACCAAATTGATAGTCTGAATAAAATCATCCTGATATTGAGCTGTGTTAGAAATTAACAGGTGTGCAAAAATATACCTAGTCTCCCTCTTTAAAAAGACAAAAAGGAAAATCCCTCAAACACCATGAAGTGTAGACATGATGGGCTACTTTCCACATTTCCAGCGGCAAAGCTGTCAATTAGGCCCATTATCTTTAACAGGGATCATTTCCTCCAACAAAACAAAATGTTGGCACTAATTAATGGTGCTATTAAGTGTCCGCAAATGATCAGTTTCTTTCTTATGAAGGGGTGGGATGAAATTTCGACTTCTTTCCACTCCTTTTTGAACAATCTTTTCATTGTCTGTTGTTGTTGCTTTCTTTTCTTTTTTAATGTTCAAAATAAACTTTCAAATCAAAATCAATCAAATTAATTAAACTTCCCGTCATGACTGGGCTGCATTTCTGTCAGCGGAGTCATTTTTTTCCGAACAGCTGATTGGCCAGTGGGTGGTGCTTTTTATAGGATCAGATTCAACCCTGAACTTACCCTGCTCCGGAGCAGGATAGCCGTTCAGAGTAAGTTACCATGGTGATCTACCCCGATAAGAACTGAACCGGCTTCGTGAGACCGAAAACCCAGGGTTAACCCTGAAGTTACCTCGCTAAGACATTAATCCTGCTTCGTGATACAGGCCCCAGGTCTTCAAATCCACATGCTCACCATGCTCTTCTGCATGTTCAAAGAAAGAAAGACAAATCAACTCACCCAGGTGTTACCTCTCAAGGCAGCCCTGCAAAACTGCCTGGGAAACCCCATCAATCAATTGCACCTGGAGGCCTTCAACGCAAAAGACAACAGCTGATTAGATGATCACAAACAAAACATCTAACCCAAACTTTGACGAGGCCACGACAAAATAATGGGAGATGACACGAGAAATTGAAGCAAGTAGATCATAATTTATTTTAACTAACCCAAATCCAACATATCAAAGAATGGTATGAGGTGTGGCAGTCCGTAAATCAGTAATGTTAGTGTGTATGCATGCTTGTCAAATTAGTGAGTGGTAAAAATAAGCAAAGTAAGGAGCGTGGAGAGAAGAGAGCAGAGTTCCCCTTTTGTCCTCTGTCTCCCTCTGTTTGCAGAGCAAATGAGATGTGCTCTTATAGTGCGGGTGTAGCGGGGTTCTTCCGGGAAAAATATGGCGTAGTCGGGAAGATACGTTTTAAAGTGTTTATTCCACCAAACCAACCAAAACAGTGAAAAAAATATGTACAAAGTAACAACAAAAAATTTACAAAAAGGTACACTGGGTTCAGAGTTCTTCAGTAACCCAAATTACAGCTGGACCACCGGCCAAAAAAACAAGGACAAAAGTCCAAAAACACGATCACTCAATACTTTCTCTTGTTGTCAAATACCTGCCATGTACCACCAACTCTCCACACCAACATGGACAAGATGGCTGCCTTATAAATCATAAGCCCCTCCCACTGGGCATGACACAAAAAGAATAATTAACTTTGAAATCAGTGTTTCCCTACAAATAGAAACAACCAAAAATGTATTGACAAATAGTTAAATACAGAGAAATACCTCCTTTAAATATTCACTGTTCAACATCTCAACATACAGTCTCCAATACTGCAAAATAAACATAATTAGCGCAAACACACATTTAAATTAATCAGGTGACCATTTTCCCACTACGTCCCCTTTAAACCCCAGGAACTCAATGCGCCCCTGTTTGGCGGATTCGGTGTCTGACAGAGGGCAGCGGGGAGGACAACCTGGCGTCTGTGGTGACTGTCTATGTGATATGGATGGGTATGAACAGGCGTGCAGAACGGCAAGTGTGCACCCTCGTGCGAACTACAGAACTGTGGGGCGATGAATTATGGCGATAATTGCAACCAATGTAGTGGACCAGAACGGGGCTCGGAAATGTTTGATGAGTGGTGTGTAACGTGTAGCGCATAGCGCGTAGCATGTGTGTCTGTGTCTGTGTGTGTGTGTATGTGTACATGTGCAGTGCCCGCACTCAGTGACGGGGCTGCTCCGTCACAGCGGGGAACACCGGGCCCAGGTGTTCCCGGCAACTAATGACGGACACAACGACTCCTGTAATACAAAAAGAAAGAGACACCACCAGCCCAACAGCCACAAGAGGCATGGCCGTCACACAGTGCTTGATCACATTAAAGTACAAGCGAGATAAGCTACTAGCAAGAAATATTATGTGTTATGGATATTTAAGACACTCATAGATGTAGTTGAGACAAATGTCTGCTTCAGTCGGCAAGCTCCAGGACTGGAAAATGAAGCCAACACTAAAGTGCCAAAAAGTACAGTTGTAGAGAAAAGAGATGCCATCTTGCCTGGTCATCCCATTCTCATTCCAAAGTTGTCAAATAGTGCACTTTGTTAGTGATTTCGGCATCAGACACCAATGCTAAAAGCCACCTTTTGCGGCAGTATGATATACTACCGGGCAGCATCAGTTTGTAATATGGCCAGAGGGAACCTTTCACAGTGTTATGATACACCACTGGTTGGCTGGATGGCATCTGTTGCAGAAGTTTGATACACAGACAGCGTCAGTTCATGACACAGGTGGACAGCACCTGTCACAGCGGTATGACACACTGCTGGAAGGCGTTAGCTTAAAACACTGCAAGTAACAATGTAATACAAGGAGCTTGAAAGTCCCTCTAGGGTGGGTGGGAGAGGTGGTGGATGGGTCCAACAAACCTGGACCTTCACCCGGGAGGCCGGTGTTCGCTTCCCTATGAATGTAGAGCCAAACCATAATGTTTTTTTTACAAAACCTAACCATGTGCTTTTGCTGATATCCCTGGTGGCTGCAACGTCCAAAAATGTCAACGGTAGATACATGAGGATACCTAGAATGTAATATATAAAAGTGGTGTTGTGTGACAACTTGCAATGAGAAGCGGTGTTGGCCTGGTGCTAGCAGTAAAAAAAGTTTTTAGTTTGCGGGTTTACTTCCCTGGTATGTTGTCTACTGAATATGTGCTGTAGTGTTTGTCCCACTGGCCCTGCTCATGAGGTCTCCACTGTCTCGTCCAAGTATGGTCACTTCTGGCTCCAAAAAATCTAGATGGCAATGGCTGAAATGCCAAACTTGAGGCTTTAAAACACAAATCCACAGACCAATGGGTGACGTCACTTTAACTATGTTATTTTTAGTCAGTGGTCTGCCTTTAAAACTTCGCAATTTATATCACAACCGAACCATTTACTGTATGAAGCAATGGTTTAGCAAATGATGAAGAATAGTTACAACTGGTCCTGCCTGTGATGTTAGTAAAAAAAATCAGCACATGAAGCTGGCATACAGAAACGCCAATGTCAACAACAAGGCAGGGCAAGGGTGACTTTTTTAATAGGCTGATTGCAGTGCTGGGTGATTGATCCATGTTCTGCTCTGGCAAAGGGGTATGTCACCTGAAGATGCTAATGTTAGCATGGACCTCAACAACAGTGGCAGTTGTGACAGGATGGGGAAGTGGAATCAACAGCAACAAAGATCTGGATCTCTAGTGTGGACACTGGAGACACACACAAGGTGTAAATGTAATCAGGTTAAATCATATGGTACCTTTAGGGAGAACTAGCACACAGGGGCTTCAATAAAGAGGCCGCAACAGTCAGTGTGGGTCATAAACATGCCATTTATTTTACAATAATTACAACTTTAAGAACACAGGCAAGAAAGGACAAGAGGACAGACAGTCATACTACGGCTGGGAAACCAGCCACTCACTGCTAGGGCACTGGGGGTATACTGTGTATTCAAAAGAAATATAAACCCGACACACTTCAAATAAAACACCACACTAATAAAGATGTGCAACCACAAACCATATCACCATCTAGAATGAACTCCCAGCACCCCAACCACACTGGTGAATGGTGGACCCCACCAGCTGCAGCACTAGAAACAGAAGGAGACAGAATGTTAAAACTCTAAAACTAAACAAACTCCAATCCTATACTAAACAATAAAAACAATAAAATCAATAAGGCTAAAACATGTAATACTAAAGTAAAATAAACAGCAGTCAGTGCTATGCCTAGAAACAAACAAAGCACTGTTAATTTAGTTTGTAGGGCACATTACAATGTTTAAATGTTGCATGTTTTACATACCTTTGTATCAGAGTCAACTTTTTATTCTTTTTTCCTACAAACAGATTATGGCAGACCCAGTATTAAAATCATTAAAATACAAATACCTCAGGATGCATGCATCCCTACAGTACCCTAACAATTAAAATGCTAACATGATTATAAAACAATGCTAAAAACCCCAAAAGTACAGCTTACCGGAGCCACAGGGAATCAAACAATCACATCCACATGGAGAGCACAAAAAGGATCTGAGGAGAGTGAAGCCTGCAGTCTCACCTGCTGCCAATCAGCCCCTCCTCCAGTTCCTGTCTCCCCTGATTGGTCTCTGACCTAGTGACCTACTGCTACAATATCTACATACAATCTGGATTCAAGACACATTTTAATGTAAGGTAAAAAAGGGGGTCCTTGTTCAGAGCAGTGTTTCATGATTTCCGTGATAGTAATTTTTTTATCTTGAATTAATCTGGGGTGGGATGGGGAGACATTACGTTCTTTCATCTTACAAAGGGAGAAACGTTAAGCCAGAAAATCAAAGTCACAACCTCTCTGTAAGTCAGTCAGCATATGTGAAGCTCTGTAGGAAGTCATTTTCATTCCAACATAAAACTGGCAGAATAACAGAACTCTTCTGTTAAAAAAACATCCTCCTACTCTTCCTATCTGCACATCAACACTGCAGAGTGAACAGGGAAACTTTCCGCTGGTGAGGCATCATGAAGGATAATAATGTCCTAATTGGCTAATTACCAGTCTGACTACCTCACCGCTGAAAGGTTATGCCTGTTAAATTAGTCACCATCATTACAGTGAAACAAGCAGAAAGACGAATATACCCAGGGCAGTATGTGCACAGGCAGCATGTGTCCCCCCCGCCCACAGAGGTTGGAGGTTAAGAACAGTGTTAGTCATCAGCCAGGTTCACTGTGGTTCAGTCTGACAGCAGCAGCAACTCCAGCTGATCCACATCACATAGGACAAAGGAGGGTTCGGGATGTTTTTGTACAGAACTTCAAAAAAACAAGTGTTGTTACTGAAAGCTGCAGGAGGTTTAGGATTATGTTAGATTGAAACCAAATTTTGTGGTATCTTTCACTTTTGTTATTACAGCACACAACTTTTATCCTGTTCACACAACATATTATATTGTCTGTAGAAATTATTATCTAGTTTGTACATAGTAAACTTAATTTGTCTGCACAAAATGTTATCTTGTTTGTACAAATGATGGACAATGTACAAATAGTTATCTTGGTCAGATTCACTAATATCCAGTTTGTTATGTAACTTTACTTAACTGAACCTAGGTTATTTCACTAAACTACACTAAATCTACATAACTGAGCTAAACCGAACCCAAGTAACGTTACTATCCTAAACTGAACTTACATAAATTTACTTTCCTAAACCAAACCCACATAGCTTTACTTTCCTTAACTTAACCTATGCTATTTAACTTGCCTAAACTTGACCTAAGTAGCCTACTTGCCTAAACCAAACCTACATAACTTCACCTTCCTTATCCTATGTAACTTACTTACCTAAACTGAACCTAAGTAATTTTATCCACCAAACCCACATAGTTGTACTGTCCTAAACCAAACCTATGTAGCTTTACTTTCCTAAATCTTATTGGGGGTGCTAACTGATTGGGCATTAATTCGTTCGTTATCATGCAAACTGTTGTCTGAGGATACACTGCAATCCTTCCTCTGCCCCAATCCTCAACACAAACTTTATATTTGTAGCCCCAATACAGGTCAGACCTAGCAGGACTTTAGACTTCTATCAGTTTTTCATGTTTGTGCTGAGATTGATGCTTCCACCAGATTTTATCCAAATATTCTGACTGTCTGTAGAACCTGGTGATTGTTTCTAGTTTTGTTTCATGTTCTTTGTCTCCTAACATGCACGTTACAGACTGGGTCAGCTGGTTCCTCTCCAGTCGTCCATGTTTCCCCTCCAGAGGGATTACTGCTGTCATATCTGTATATTTACTGCTTATACTCCCCAACTGCTGCTGTGAATTGAAAACTCATCTCCCAGCCTCCTTTGCTCCTTATATCATCTACCCATCCAATCTCCCCCCCCCCCCCCCCCCCCCCCCCCCCCCCCCCCCCCCCCCCCCCCCCCCCCCCGCCCATCTTTACTTGACCTTGTTCTCCCACAGTAAAACATCAAATATATGTAATGCATATATGGATGTGTATGTATGTATGTATGGTAGCCAGGGAAATTATTTCTGGAAAGGCTCATTGCTGTTGAGTTTTTTCAAATGTCATTTTGGATGATTTGAGGACCACAGGCTAAATCCCAGCTCAGTATCTGGTGCAGAAATCTCACATCTGTAAACCTATAAAAAGAAAGAAAGAAATATTTACTTCATGCCTTTTTTGGCAATTTTATATCACAACAAAATCATGTGTTTAAAGGAAACAAAACAATAAACAAGACAAAAGACTCCACAAAAAATGAATTAAAAAGAACACATCCAGGTTCAAATCAATTTCCACTAGATCCCTCATCAAGACAGCCACCTTTATTATCTAAGGGAATATTTCATGTCAGTTTTCTCTTACTGTCTCTTACTTGTATTAAGTTCCTTCCTAAATTGCCATATTTTATTTACATCAATTACTGGCACCAAACAAAGCTATGTATGGAACAGAAGGAAGGAATGTTGATATTAAAATTATGCAGTGTTTTATGTAAAGTCTCGTCCTAAGGGTTTGTAAAAGTCAATCCACCTTGGCCATATCTTGGTAAATTTATTTTGGTGTACTCTGATGGAATGTGCCAATTTATCCATTGTATTTGATGACCTTTGTCTGTCCAGTCCTCAATCAAGAGAGCCTGGGGCTTCAGCCACTTACTAGTTTTGTTTTTTTTACATGCATCTTTGGAGTTTATGTCTTGTGAGTGGCCCGGGGATGAATCCTAAAACCTAGAAATTACTTGGCATTTTACTACTCCTGGTTCCCTTGTCTTGAAGTCAGTGGGCTTTGGTTAGTTGTCTGAAATAAGGTCTGTGGTTAACACAAGTTTAAGAGACTTTCATGGTTTGTTCTATGACATAATACGTCAGTAAATACCCCACTGTTAATTTTGAAGCTTTTATTTGTCTTTAAAAAGGTGTTTGTTAACAAGAGGCTTAATGAGACTACAGAAGGTCATGACACTGAACACGGCTTTAGAATATTGTCGTTAACGTAAAGTCATGTGACCGTAGTGTAGTTTGTTCATAGCCTAACATTAGCTTTTTACCTCTGGCGAATGCATTTAGGCTTCAACAATCATAATACATCTGATTTATAGAGTGCTTTTCATGGTACTCAAAGACACTTTACATTGGTTAAAAACAATCACAAAATAGACTACAATAAAATACAAACAACAACATTCACACATTGAAAGCCATTTTGACTTTAGGGCTTTGTAAGTGAGGAGAAGGACTTTGAATTGGATGCGTTGTGGGACAGGGAGCCAGTGGAGGTTCTGGAGGACAGGGGTGATCTGATCGATAGATCATAAAAGTAGTGTTATTGTGAAGATTATCTTTCTGAATAAAATGTTAAGTATCATAAACCATTTTTTAATAATCCAAAATCGAATTTAAAAACCCCATAGGCTTTTTGATGAGGCAACCAGGGTGATGCTAACTTCCCTGTTGGCCAGCAGAAAAACGTCCTCCTTGGAGCCATTCAGTGATTTTAGCTGCTTTATTATTGAGTGTTTCTATCCAATGTGTATTTTATTTGGTAACTATGTTTTGAAAGGTGCTATATAAATAAAGTTTATTATCAGTATTAATGTAGTTTGAACACATCATTTTTAGGTTTATTTCCTTAAATTAAGGCAACAAAAGTCGGTGGTTGGTTTAGAGAAAAACATCCTTGTTTGGCTTTAAAAATATTAAACTTGTTACTAACATCATAAAACGTTACATGACATGTCATGTGACCCACATCACTAGCAAAGCATGCTACACATACCAGCACAATACAATGTTATTAAAATAACTCCACTGACTTTTGGTGTCACACAGGACACAAACTGCAGGCTCCTGGGTGAAAGGCCAGTTTGTTTAACTCATCCACCTAACCTCCTTCCCACCCTGTACGGACTTTCTCGCCAGCTAGTGGGTTTCATACTGCTGCACAGGGTGCCTCTGTCCCTTAGTCCCACTGACAAAGCAGCAGTATTTGACGAGTTGGGTTGTTGCCTGCTATATCAACAACTGCTGCCACCTGATGTGCTTCATTCTGCTGCAAAAGGTGCCTTCATGCACTGATATCTAAGAAAGAGATTTTGATGAGTTGGAAGTGAGAACGGGCTGGAATATTGCATAGATATATGGAACATTAAATCTGACAGGGATAGTGCTTTTTAATACCTCCTCTAAAATCTGATGGATATTCTTCCAATAAGTGGCCTTGTGGTAGAGTGTCCGCCCTGAGACTGGGAGGTCGTGGGTTCGATCCCCAGCCGGGTCATACCAAAGACTATAAAAATGGGACCCATTGCTTCCCTGCTTGGCACTCAGCATCAGGGGTTGGAATTGGGGGGTTAGATCACCACATGATTCCCTCAGGGGATGGGTCAAATGTGGAGAACAAATTTCACACATTCAGGTGTGTGACAATCAGTGGAACTTTACCTTTTACCTTAAGTGGCCAGGACAGGACAAGACCAAAATATATGATTTTTCACATTATCGGCCTGGTGTTGCCTCCAACAATTTGTGCTAATAATTCTGTGTCTCTGCTGAGGTGTAATAAAGAACTGAACTAAACTCTTCAAAATTCTCTCCAAATAAGGAAATTTGTCATTTTCCACTGTATTGGCGAACCCTCCTGTCTTTAATATCTAGTAAGTTCCTCTTCTGATTTAGAGAACTGGATTCACACACACACACACACACACACACACACACACACACACACACACTTACTTTCCGTTACAGTGATATCCTCTGGCCCTGTTCCGTCCTCCACAGTGACACTCAAGACGCAACAGGACTGATAACTCGCAGTGTGACCCCGGCCTAATGAGCGACTGTGTATTTTGAATATAATAAAACATCAGTGTTTAAAGCTGCTTTTACATCTGTTATATAAATCAAACTGTTGTGATGCCAACAACAGAGATCTGAAAACAAAAGACTTGTATTACTAGCTTTATATATGTGTTTCTTATTGACTGGTTTACCAAAATAGGCTTCTTCAAAGTTATATTT